ATTCAAAATGGCGAGCAATCAACCGCGCGGCGAAGCCACCAACTACTACAATATGCAGCAAGGGACGAATCAACCTCCGTATGGCGAACCACAATATGGACAGCCTCAATACGGACAGCCCCCGTTCGGGCAACCCCAAAATAACCAGCCCGGCCCTCAAGGCCCGGCTCCGAACTACGCAAATGGCTACGGCAACGAGAAACCCATGTTCGATCAAGCATTCAAGGTCGAACGCCCAAAATTCAACGATATCTGGGCAGGCCTACTCGTGCGTTACATTACACTCCTCATTTGAATGTCTAGCGGTTAACCCTCCTCAGTTCCTCACAGTCTTCGCAGGATATGTTGCTGTCTCGGGGATAGCGATTAATGGCTATGGTCAGTGAATCATCATTCTTAACCCCATTTCCCCCAAGGCTAACGCATCGCAGCTTCCAACAGGAGCTTCCAAGGAGGTTCTATCTATGATTCCGGGTCGAATGTCGGGCTCAATACAAATACATTAATACTGTTCGCATTTTGCCTCTGCGTCGCTATCGTCTTCAGCTACCTCTATGTACTGCTAGCCCGCCAATTCCCCAAGCAGTTCATCTGGATAACGTAAGTTATGAACCCAAAGCCCCAGGAGTTAAGGTATGAGGACTCACCTCTTACCATAGTGGCATCCTCAATATCGTCTTCGGTCTCGTGACAGCCATCTATATGCTATCCCGGCATTACTACTCTGGTGGTATTGTCTACTTGATCTTTGTTGCTTTCTTGATTTTCGCCTTCATCGTGAGTCTAATACACCTGTTTCCGTCTATGCGTCTGCTCGTTGACCAACTTAGTCCTGGATCCCACGCATTCCATTCAGTGCTCTTATGCTTAAAACTGCTGTCGACGTCTCTAAGAGCTATGGTCATGTGTATCTCGTCAGTGCTCTTGGCGGGCTTTGCGCCACTGCCCTTGCCGGATGGTATTCAGTCACCTTCGTCGCCGTATATGCGAAGTATTCTCCGGGGCAAAACCCGGCATGTGCAGAAGGAGCCGGAGGTTGCAGCACCGCCAAGGTTACTGGTCTTCTTGTATTCATTACCTTCGCCATGTATTGGATATCGGAATGGCTGAAAAACACCATTCACACTACCATCTCAGGGGTTTACGGCTCCTGGTACTTCCATCCGCACAACCTCCCCAAGGGAGCCACTCGAGGTAGTCTTCGAAGAGCGCTCACATACAGCTTTGGCTCGATCTCCCTTGGCTCGTTGCTTGTGGCTATTATCAACTTCTTACGCCAACTATGCTCAGTTGCTCGGCAGAATGAGGCAGCACAGGGCAACATCATGGGTGTCGTTTTGTTTTGGATTCTTGGATGCCTCATTGGAATACTAGATTGGGCGGTACAGTTCCTCAACCGATACGCCTTCTCTTATATCGCCCTCTACGGCAAGTCGTACTTCGCCGCCGCCAAGGACACGTGGAACATGATCAAACAGCGCGGCATCGATGCTCTTATCAACGAATGTCTCATTGGCCCGGTCCTTTCTATGGGGGCAACGTTCGTGGGCTACGCGACAAGTCTGCTAGCCTACTTGTATCTTGTAAGAATCTACTCGGCAATTACTCAGGCTCTTGAGATAACATACTTACTCCAACGCCCAGGTATTCACCAAGCCATCATACAATACCGATGGTTCTTACACGCCAGGTACGTTCCAGCAAGACACATTGTCTACTATACCAACTGCTTTTGATACTGGTATTTCCGTGACTGTCACGCTAACTTTGGACGTAATAGTTGTTGTGGCCTTTGCATTTCTCATTGGCTTGCAGATCTGCAACATCTTTACAACACCGCTTAGCAGCGGCATCGATACGATATTCGTGGCGACTGCATGGGAGCCGAGCACACTGATGCAGAACCATCCAGACCTGTATGATGCTATGGTCAGGGTCTACCCGCAGGTTCAAGTAGCCATACACGCTTAAAATGAATATCGTACTCGTATTCAGGTTAGGGATTCCGGTGTACGAAACGAACAAGGCTTTTGCGGTGCTTAAAACGGATCAACCTACGGGGTTTAATACTTGGAAAGGGGAATGCAAGCTTCATAGTTGTTAATATTATAATGCCTCAAGAATCGTTTACAACGCGGACCCCGAATGGGGGTCTTAGTATGAACTAGATATGCACCTAGGATAGGTTCCTTGCATCCTCGGGTCCATCCAAGCGAGGTTATCTAGATCTAGGCTTCTAGGCTGCAATCCGGGTTCCGTTTAGCGGGGGCTAGGGGGGGCGTAAAGGCGGATACGAACGAACTGTTAGTTGACCTACGATAGGGGTCGTGCAAAAACACTACCTACCTCCTAATAGGCAACAATGGCAGCTAACAGTGATACTGCATCTACGGTGCACTCGGTTGGCCATCCGCTTACCATCGTTGCATACAAAAGCTCCCCATCTTGATTTGAATCCCACGAGCGTATCACGCTATGTCCGGCAGCAACCCGTTCTCGTCACTTTTCAACCAACAGGGCTTGACAGCTCGACTAGCCATCCTGCAGCCGGCAGCTGACCACAATGCGCCTATCGAGCTTAGCCTTAGCCTCACGGAGGCGGTTCTAAAGGACACTTCGTACGAGTGCATCTCGTACGACCGCTCTTCGCCCGAGGCCATTGCCGACGTAGCAACGGTCTCGGTCGACGGCGAAGCGCAGCCCATCCCCAAAGCGCTGGAGAGCGCCCTCCGGACCTTCCGGCGAAAGGAGCGGCCGCGCACGCTCTGGGCCGACCTGCTCGTAGGCCGCACGCCCGAGGAGCGCAGCGCGCAGGCTACCTCGCTTCGTCACGTGCTGCAGAACGCCGAGCGCACGCTGTGCTGGCTCGGGCCCGACAAGGGGGAGCCGACGGCGAAGGCGTTCGAGACGATCCGCGAGATGGCGCGGCGCTACGCCGAGGCGTGTGCCAAGGTCGGCATCAGCGCGGACGTGAGCCTCGCGCGGACCACCATGCAGCAGATGGCCGGCCTCCGCCAGCAGATGCTCAGCTGCCCGTACGACGACCGAACTCGTTCGACTTCGCGCACTGGAGGGCGATATACGACGTCTTCGGCGCCTCGTACTGGAACTCCGTCCAATGCATCTCGGAGATCGTGCTGGCGCGCGCGCCCCTCGTGGTATGCGGCCGCAGCAACATCCGCTGGCACGCGTACATCGCGGCCTCGCGCGCCATGCCCTTCTACCAGGCCAAGTTTTTCCAGGTGCCATTACTACCCCACGTCGTGCAGGGGTTCGATATCGCGAACCAAATCGAGGTGGCCGAGCGCCGGAGACGGCTCGGCGAGTCCGTCGAGCTGCTGCCTATGATCCAGACGGCGCGCGACTGTCGCGCCGCCGACCCGAGGGAGAACGTATTCGCCATGATGCACATCGCGACGCCGTCCGCGCGCGTCGGATTCCACAATGCCGGCCCGCAGCCCCTGCCGGCTATCGACTACACCAAGAGCGCGCAGCAGGTCTTCGCCGAGACCGCGCGGTACTCGATCCTCGAGCGTCAGGACTTGATCCTCGAGCGTCAGGACTTGATCCTCTGGTTTAACGACCGCCCGCCCTGCGCGAAGCGGCTGAAGGGCCTGCCGAGCTGGGTCCCGGATTTCGGCGCCGTGCCGCCGACGGCCCTCGTCGGTCTCTTCAACACGACCGTGGGCATGCGCGCGTGGTGGGATAAGATCGAGCCCGCGTCCGCGCGGAAGCCCATCACCATCACCATCTCCTCCCCCCCCTCCTTTCCCTCCTCTTCCGAAAACGCAAAGCCCGCGCTGCACCTACAAGCCCGGCCCCTCGACCGCGTCGTCCACGTCCCCCCATCTTCGACGCGGGCAGCTGCCGGCGTCTCTGCCTCGCCGAATTCCGGCGCCTCGCCGCGGCGCCCGGCTCCGAGACCGTCGGCCGGTTCTGGCGCGCGCTGGTCCTGAACGCGGGCGCGGGCGCGGACCGCTCCGCGTCCGCCCCGCTGTGCGACGGGCCGGCGGCGCCGGCGGCGCATCTCGAGAGCCACTTCGCGAGCCTGATCGCCGAGGAGACGATTCTGCACGCGCTGGGCTGCGCGACGGCGGCCGAGATGCAGACGCCGGCGAACGCGGCGCGCATGCGCGCGTCGCCGGAGCTCATGGCGCTGGTGCCGCGGTGCGGGCGCGCGGCGCCGTTCGCGGCGCTGCTGGCGCGGCACGCGGCCGGGCGGCGCTTCTTCCGGACCGCGGGGGGGGGGTTCGGGATGACGGCGGTCGAGGACGTGGGGGCGGCGGACAGCAATCTGCTGGGCGAGGAGGAGGACGGGGCGAGGCTGAGGGGGCTGGGACGCTTCATGGGCGATCCGATCTCGCGCGGCATGCTGGAGGGCTTCCAGCAGTACCTCCAGGAGCGGGACCCGGCCGCCGCGCGGGTCGCTGCGCAGGCGATGCGGGGGGAGATCCCGGGGCTGGAAGACGGGGTAGGGGGGCGGCAGCGCACGGATGGAGGGGTGCGGGAGGGCGACCTGGTGGTCGCTTGCGTGGGCGGGTTCCTCCCGTGCGTGCTGCGGCCTTGGTCACAACTCCAATCTGGCGAAGAGGAAACGGTTGAAGGAGATAAAGACAGCCGGCCAGCGGAGAGATCGTCGGGTGAGGATGGTTCGACGTACGAGTTCGTAGGCGAGTGCTACCTCCACGGAGCAATGGACGGCGAGGATTTCCAGACTACGGGGCCGCTGGGGCGGAAGCACTTCAGCGTCGATGTGTCGAAGCTTGTAGATATTACGATTGTATGATACATACCTACTCACCTATTATCCTTGAATAGTTGCTGGATATCGGCTAGGAATCTGAGAAAGATCGAAGACTCAAAGAGTGAAAGAAAAGGAGAAGGTGGTCATAGGCTACGGATGGTCTGGGTACCTAACCTACCCAGGTAAGGTTACTTAAGTATATTGATAACAGAAACTTCTAACCTGTACGAAATACCTAGGTAGGCAGTATAAGAAGACGCGAATAGCTCAACTGGTAAGAGCGTGAGATTGGAATCTCAAGGCTCCGGGTTCAAGTCCCGGTTTGCTAATACTTTTGCCCCTGGTAGATCATCCTTCCATGGCGTTGCCCAAGTTTGTGGTAAACACGAGCATGCCCATTAGAGAACTACTCTGTATATTTCATCAATAATACTAAAGAACACTTTTGCTTCACAGGAGGCATATGACCACGAGACTATACAGAGTCCCACGAAGATCACGGAACAGCGGAAAGCCGCGCAGAATGACATTAAGAAGCAAAACCCGGGGTTGATGTAACCGCATGCAACAACAGCAGCACCCAAAACCTAACATACACAAGATACAGCCCTAGACAAAGTGATTCCTCTCATCAACTCTCCTCACCTCTAGTCTAGCACAACGTGCCTTGTCTCACATCGTGTGTGTGTGCTCCGCATCTTCCCTGGCCACGCATCGAGGGGCCAGTAAAGACAGTCGAAGCCCGCCCTTTTCCCACCATCGGTGGAAAGTCTTTTTGGTTTCCCTTACGTACGCCGATAACTCCGCAGCAAGAACAAAAACGTAACAAGACGTAATAAACAGCCTTCTTTCCTCTTTCCCCTCCCTTCCCTCCTTACCCCGGCGGGGGTGGAAACGCCCTACTTCTTCTCCTCGAAGTAGAACTTGCCCAGCTTGTCGCCGTCCTTGGAGCTGCCCAGGACCGGGGCGCGCCCGCCCTCGTTGTTGTCGAGGCGCTCCCGCACGATGCGCTCGGCCGCCTCCCGCGACGCGGGCCCGCCCACGCCTTCCCGGAGGGCGCTGGTGCGCGGCTGGCCGGGCTGCTGCACGGGGACGGGCCCGCGGGTCGTCGTGTCGACGAACACGTCGTCGTCCGAGGTGCCGACGTGGCCGCCCCCGTCCACGGCGACGCCGTCGACGTACTTGGCCTGCCGCGCCTCGGCGGCCGCCGACGCGCTGACGGGCGTGTCGCTGCCGACGTCGCGCATATCGCGGTGCCGCATCATGGCCTCCTGGCTCAGGCCCGAGCTGCTGCGCTCGAGGCCCCAGACACCAGCGGCGCCGGCCGTGCCGGGAAGAGGTCGGCGGTGGTAGATGGGGCCACTGACGGTGCTGTTGGCGCCCTCGCCGAAGCCGACGAGGCTGGCGCTGCCGTCGTCGCTCATGCGGTCCTCGTAGCCACCGACCGAGCGGCTCGCCATGTCCTCGTCCATAGCGTCCATGGCGCCCGAGTTCGAGTCGACGTCCATGGTGCGGTAGTTGGTGTCCATGCTCATGCTGCCATCCTCGTCCACCTCGGTCAGCTCCGCGTCCATCTCCTCGCCGAACTGCTCACCCGCCTCGGCCGTGGTTCGCGCACCGACGCTACCCGTCGCCGAGGCCGTGCCGACCGTGCTCATCTTGGTAATCGCGGTGGGCTGCCCGTTGGAGTCGAAGTAGGCTGGCGTTAAAGGGGCCGAGGCCTGCTGTGCCGTGGACGTTGGCGTTGTTTGCGGCGAGTTCAAGTTGCCATGCTGCTGCTGGTTTGGGGCGCGCAACGTGGAGACGCGTTCGAGACCGGCAAGGCGGCTGATGCGGTCGGCCCGTTCGGCTTCTAGGCTGTTAGTCGACGAGTGATGTTGATGGCCTCGGGGACCTCCGAAGCCTTGGAATGTGTGGCCGCGGTGGCCATCCTTGATGGCAGTAGTGGAGAGGGCGGAGAGCGAAGTGGTAGTACTGGTGGGAGTGCCACTGTTGATGACCTAAGTTAGTATATAACATAGAGGTATGTCGGCGCGGGAATGAGCACATACGGCATGTCACTTGGGGTGTCCGGATTGGACGGTGGTGCAGGAATGTTAATGAGCATCGGGGCGGTTTGTTGTTGAGACATCTTTGCTGTTGGATCGTCAAGCAAAACGTATCGATGGCGCGTCAGGTGTAGATTCCGATTCGATGCGGATCGCGGGTCTGAGCTAGGAGGACGTGGCAGATGGCGAATGGAGAGTATGGTAAGATGGTGTAGTGGGAAGGATAACGGATGGTGGATGGTGGGGGTTAGAAAAGAGAACAAGGGATGGGAGGTTAATATGGAGATATCAATTGATGGCAAGGGGATTTGATCCTTTGTTGCCGAGGACTTGGGATGATCAACAAACTTAGGGGAAGATGTTTTTAAAAAAAAAATAAAAAAAAATTGTCTTCGGGATAGGTAGAAACTAAAGCTGGCTGCCTGGGTGTTCTTGGGTTGCAGGTCTGCCGTTTGCGTTTGCTCTGCTCAAGCCCAACTTGTCATTCTACCATCTTAAGTGCTACGTGCAGCGTGCAGCTAAGGTGGGGGATGACGTAGGGCTGTCATGAATCTCAATTGGCTCTAGCGTCGATTCATTTAGCTGTAGATCGGCGCCTATTCTATCACGTGTGTACCCCTCCAAGGCCTGTAAACTACAAGCCTACGAGCATCAAAAAGCTCCATGCCTACCTCCTATCTACCTAATACATGTATTGGTGTCAAGTATCGTGAAATGTGACAAATGTGACAAATGAGTGGATAGCATTATCTCTGTTCGTTTACCGGTAATTATTCATTTCACATATCATATTTGCCATAAATCCCCTCTATCAAAACCAAAACCGTTGTTCGAATCCGTAACCCACAAACGGCGTCTACTAGAGGTGGCCCCTAGCTTCACCCACTGCGCTAGTCGATACCAAGACAATAACCCAACAATTTGGCAAGGTTCTAACTGCCAATACTGGTCTCCCTTGTTCCGATTGGAGCGCTAGCTCACTGTGGTATCGGGACCTGGGAAACGGAAGTGTTAAGGTCAGCAGGTTGGGGCTCATTCTGAACATATTCCAATCTAAAGGATTCCGTCTTTACTATGAACTGGGGGGATTGAGCTGGACAAGATGCTGTGATTCCGATCCAGCTTGGTTCCGGTATGCAGGCCAGCCGCCTTGGCCGTTTCCAAGATAATCAATTCCCCGCTTGGATCTAATGGATATGAGGCTGAGCGTGTAAGATGAAAGTCGAGCTGCGGATGTTTGACCGATTTTCAAATGTATCTGCCCAAAACGGCTGGCAAGAGTGTGACGCAGGAGAAAATTATGCACGCGAACTACGATAGTCCCGTGTGGCTTATTAACAGGCTGACTTCATTATGACATGACAACCAAGTTCATGTACGATCAAACGCCAAGCAAGGAGATATTCCAGGTCACGTCGAGGCTACTTCGCAGCACACTTGTCATCCCAAGCCCGACAAGACTTGTGACACATGCTCTACAAAACACGAGATGAGTTTGACTCGACTACAATAGAATCAGGGGGTCTACTCACAATAAGCCAAGATCGAAGACAATTAACAATCTCAATTTCCAGTTCCAATCCATCTTCAATCCCAAAGTAGATGCACTGAAAGGACAGATATATACAAATGTACGAAATAATTGACGGTGCCTGTCATGTAATCGACGCAATCCAGATTGATGCAATGACTGTCAACCGACCCATCCCATGTGCGTTGCCTTAGCACGCATGAGAAGAAGCTGGCGAAGAAGAGCGTCGTGGTCGCACAAAAAATAAAAGCAAAGCCTTTACCGACGGCACACTCGTATGACCTTTCTAGAGAGCGGATGCGACGATATAAGGATAAAAATGTAAGCTTAGTAGAGGTTAATAGTATCAAAGAGATGAAACTCCAAATGGCAATAAACTATGAGTGAAACACGGGCGTTAAACGAAGCATTTCAGACGATGAAGAAGGATTTAAACTAGACCATTCGGTTGGCACTTCCCACATATGACGTCCTCTTCCTGGCATACGCTAATACCCCGTCAGAATCTCATTTCCAGAGCCCCGGGACGACAGGTCTTGCAAGGGTAGTGTCATACATTGAAACATCAAGTCTGAAATGGTGATCTTGCGGCCTTAGGGGGGCTGAGTCAGCCTTAATAGCGAGTTTTCGATTAATAACTTATATTCCATATAATGCAAGTGTCTATTCTCTGTACCTACCTGGTAGACGAACTTCTTGGGTTCCCTGCCTGGTATCCACCCCCCTTATTACCAGACCCCTTGCCTCTCTGTGCTAACCAACCCATTTTGGAGGCTCGTACACGGGGTCATAAAAGTAGCTGCATGGATTACCCAGTCTCCCTCCCTTGAGACGTAAGTAATTATTGGTGCTTTGTTTATCGGATACTTACATTCACCTAGCACCAGGGGCATAACTTAACTGCTCGTTGTCTCACGCCCTTGTCACTCGTTTCTTTCCCCTCTAACCTAGGTAGTCAACTCTTTTCTACCCCTCAGCCGTTCCTTGAATATCCTTAAAATCGCTGCAGCCTGCAGTTGGATACCATGCTGAAATCAAATGATGGTATCCGGATGAAATTGGCCGCTGGTCTGCTATCATTGTTGATTGTATGATGAAACACCGCCAAATTCCAAAACTGTCACAGGAACAGCTAACAATTTACAGTTCTTATTAGCATGGGCCATCCAGAGTTTGTATTATCATCCTTTCTCAGGAGTACCCGGCCCAAGACTCTGGGCTTCCTCTCGACTGCCTTTCCTTAGATCCCTCCTCAAAGGAACCCTTGTTCAAGACATTGACAAGCTGCACCGACGATATGGGCCAGTTGTACGTATTGTCCCAGATGGGGTCACTTTCGCTCAGCCAGAAGCCTGGGCCGACATTCTTCGGGCGGACTATCCAAAAGGACCCTGTGTGGTGGAGCGGGGAGCCCGGCCGCGAGTCTGTAATGACTGCTCTCCGACCTGAGTCTCATGCTCGAATACGTAAATTCCTTGCTCCAGCCTTTACGACCCGTGCCCTGAGAAGACAAGAGCCCATAGTCCATCAATACGTCAACTTACTCGTTGAACGCTTACGAGTTCATGCGAGTCGGGAGCCATCTATTAATATCACCCCATAGTTTAATTTCACATCCTTCGATATATTCGGCGACCTTGGACACGGAGACACATTCCAATGTCTTCAAGACTCCCGCCATCATCCGTGGATTGCCATGATCTTTGACAGCGAAAAGGCGGCCTGTTTCTTCTCTGCAGCACGCTTCTAT